CCACTTCTATTTTAATATTTGAAGGCAAATTCCAGATATCACCTCATGTTTTATATGTGCCTCTAACTGACGAAGATTAAAAGAACAAGGGTCAGTCCTGTTACCATTTCACCCCCTCTTCCGCCTGTCCCTTTCTGCCACCCACCCATGCTAAGCTTCCACGCGCTGTCAGGGGCGTCGCTTCACAGCGGGCGCCTCTGAATCATGACCCTGACGTTGTCCACACCACACTTTGCTGTCACTGTCCGGTTTCCTTTAACGCTCCCACCGTCCCCCTCCTCACCGGGAGTCAGCAGACCGCAGGAAGGCCTGCGTCGTGTGCGTCGTGTCCACAGACCCCTCACTCTGTGGCTTTCAATTGGCTACCGCCAACACCCCTGCTAAGTGGTAGAGAGTCGTCGAGTTTTGATGACTTCAGGCTCGTGATAAAACCCCCCACTTCCACGATCGGGGGGACTCAATGCCTGCGTGTCTTCCTCAGTGATTTGAAATCAGGGAGTTTGAAATGGTGTCGGTCTGACGACTTTACTGAAATGCTCTTTGTCAGCGTTTTAGGCAACGGTCTTTGCACTGGCCGCGAGTTGCTGCTGAGTAAATATTCATTATTTTCAATTTTTTCCTTTGGCATTTATCAGTTGTACTTTTTTTTTTTTAAATAAAGTTGTGCTACTCTTCATCAACAATTAGATTCTCCTGACTGAGTCCTTATAGGAAAGGCAGAACAAATATTTAATTTGTCCCTTTTTATGATTTTCAAACATCATTCAGGATGCTGAATCTCGCCACATTGACGGTCTCCATCGATGTGCGTGGACTAGGGTGAAGCCACGCACTGCTTCAGCCTGTGGGTGTCGTGGGGTTTCTTGACTGAAGTTATCCCACTCGGCTAGTGTGAGACGCTTGCTGGGCTTTGTGGTAGTCGATAGGCACAGCAACCAGTCCCGGACTCACCTTGGCGGTTCCCACCAGGGCCTTTAAGCAGCCTCTCTCCAAGGGTGTCCTGATTCCGCTCCGTGCTAAGTGGGCTCTGAAGACCACACTTGCACATATAAATCCACGACGTGTGTTTGTCCACTAGGGTGTTCATTGTTCTTCTAGGCCTTTTCAGTGAACAGAGCTAAAAAACAGGTAATTTTAAGGAAAGAGTTTAAGTAAATTATGAGTCCACACTACTATTTCCTAATTAAAGATTATGGGCTGTACTTAAACTTTTACATATGTGCATCTTTAATATTGAAAAGTTAAAACTCCTATGTCGGCTGCCTTCAACATATTCTACTGGTTATGTGAGTAACCGGAAGCCCAGTGAATGCGGTTTACAAAAGGGTGGTGCCACGCATGCGCTTTGCCCTTGGGTGTCGGTTTCATTAGAGCGTATTTTCACAATACTGACTCGGAAGACTCATCTACGTGGTTGTAACTTTCCTATACAGAAAACCTTTACCTTACCAGTGGTTGATGCGCAGTTCGGTGACTTATTTTCCATTTATTCTCAGTGTTCAGCGTTGCTCCTTTTTTTCCTTTAGGTTTAATCTTTAAATTAATACGGACCATTCAGGTAGGTCTAAAGCCACAGCTGTGGGGTAGAGATGCTCGCCTGTTTGCTCCCATCTCCCCTTCTTTCCCTCCTCAATTCATAGTCCTCAGTTCATTCTTCCACTTATTCTTTCAGAGAATAGCATCAGATAGATTTGTATTTGCATGGATTTACCACCGTGCCCTTTGTTTATTCAGCCAGCATTGCATTGTTTTAGAGGTGGCCCAGCAAAGGGTAAAGCCATGCAAAATTTCACTAGTTATTACCAAATCCCTTAGGTCGAGTTGTGGCCTTTTGTGTTTGAGCTTTTGGGTTCAAGAATTCTTCACTGAATCAGAACTCTGAGATTTGTGTTCCCAGACTGTGCGGATGAGGAGCCGTGCTCAAAGTACGGCGAGGCGGCCGGGCGGCCGGGCGGCCGGGCGAGGCTGGGGGTGGAGCCTCGACCTTGGGCTGTCGCTGCTGCACACCGGGCCTCCTCCCCTGGAGCCCCCTAAAGTCTGGGAGCCGCCTGCATCCGGGAGTCAGCTCCGCACGGCTGGCAGACAGACAAGCGTTGCTGGTCAGTTGTCTCAGAAACCAAAGCAAAGCAGCTTCCCGACCCATGGAAACGTAACCGCACCCCACAGCAGGCGCCACCTCCCCGACCTCTACCCTGTCCTTGGGGTCTGGGGGCCCCCCCGGGAGGCAGTAAAGTTCCTGCCTGCTCAAAACTTGGCCCGGCCTTCCACCCCTTACTGCACCGAGCCTACCGGCCCTTTCTCTCAGGAAACCCACTCTAAAGAGAACTTTCCGGCACAGCTCTGAACGAGATGCAAAGGACTGTTCAGGTGTAGGTGCTGCCTACGTGGTAGGCACTGGGCAGAGAGAGCCTGCGGCGCGAGGGACCCGCTCTTCGAGGGCCAGATGGTGGGTGCTGAGCCTCTGTGAACCGAGCAGCGCAACTCCGTGTGCTGTGGAGAGAGACGTGCGCACACGGTGAGCCACTGCGTGGACGCGGCCCCATCACGAGAGACGAGCGTCCCTCACCGAGTCTCCTGCCTGAGAAGAAATCAGCCGCGAACCTGACGTTCCGCGCCGCCCTCTGCTCTGCTGCTTGCTGGGCTCCACACGGTTTTCAGTTCCCAAGTTGGAACTGGCGTGGCCGTTCAGAGAGCGTCGGACCTACATCACAGCAACGCGGGGTCTCAGCGCCAGCTAGCGCTAGCCGGAAAACGAAAAAGGGAAAGTGTGCACGGGTGAGGTCCCTGTGAAATGGTGTCACCCATGTAGTTGACAGGAGAGAAGATAAAAGTCAATAAAAAGAGAATTATTTATTAAAAAGATCTAATGGTACAAGAACAGTACACAGAACTAGTATCTGACGGTGCCTTCACGCGGCAGACGCCGTCGTCTAGAGCATATATACAGACTGTATACAAGATCCCGAGGCTGGACTTGGTCCACAGTACCACCAGCTGCGTAGGCAACACATTCACTTTCCTGAAAGTTTTAATGATGATTTTAATGATGTTTTGTTCTTAGAGCAATTGCCATCGTACAAAAATACGGTCTCTGTAGTGACTGAAGACTGTGCAGCCTCTGCGCCAACGGGGACACGCTCTCGGCGCTGCAGCTAACAGGGAGGGCCTGCACCAGGAACGCGTGCAGCTCCCGGAAAGTAACAAGCATGTTCTACTGAAGTACATAAACATTTAAAACCTGTTTTTTAAACAGGCTTGTGATGCAAAATACATATTCTGTGCATGTTAAATAGACACCCCGCGCCTCAGCCTCCCGTGGGCTCTGGGTCAGACGTGCCGTGACTCCCGCCTGGCGCGGCGCCCGTCAGCCGGCGGGACGTGTTGGTGAGCTTGGGTTTGCCACCGGTCTGACTGGGCTCCGCTTTCTAAGCGTGTCAGTCATCACGTGATCCTTAAACCTATTTGACTTGATTCACTAAGTCCGGTAGGAAATACCAAATGAAGAGAAGGGTTTGGTTCGCCACATTTGAAATAAAAACGTCTGCCCGCTTTTGGAATATCCTCGCAGTATGTCTGCCTGAGGCCCAATTTCCCCTTGCAGACTCCACGGCGCTCAGGAGAAACCAGGTTTCTCCTGTTGGTCGGGGTCGGTCCCCCTCCCCGCTAGCCTGATACCTGCGGGAAGCCCCAACACCCCCGGCTGTCACCTGATCTGCAGTGATGTATCCGTGATCTGTTAGCCACGCCGGCTGGTCTCGAGGCGAGCGGTCAGAGCCCTCCCCTCCCCACAGGGGATGCGTGCCGACCCAGCCGGCCGGCGGGTCCCTGACAGCAGCGCCAGGCCGTGCAGAGGCAAGCTGCTGTCTGCCTTCCTGCTCTCCGGGGTCTCCCCGTTGCAAGCCCCCAGTCTGAGCTCCACATGGCGCCATTCTCCTTGCTAAAGACCACGTGACGTGGGAGCTCCAGATTCACAAAGACAGACAGCTGCGCTTGCTCGTTGGCAGAGCCACGCCTCTGCACTTGCCCAGCTCTTTGGCACGGGCCGCGACGACTGTCCCTCAGGCGTCTTCCCGGGGGTAATCTGCCTCTGACACATTCTCTTTTCGGCTAGACCTTCCTCAAGTAGCGTCAAACACGAACCTTTCACCCGACTCCCCCACAGCTCACCCGGCTCCTGGCCGTGGACACACCCCAAGCGGGTCAGGGGCCAGGGGCCAGGCCAGCTGGGCCTGTCACGTCCCCGCAGCTAAACTAAAAACGGTCAATCGCCCCTAGGGCTCCTCTTCATTTTGACCACGGCTAAGGTTTGACAAGGGGGTGTGATACGTGGAGCTGTGCAAGGTCCTACGTTTATTTGTCCCGTGGAAGCCATTCGTCCTGTGCCCGTCTACGCACGAGGAGGACGGCTGTGCCTCCAGCGTCTGCGGCAGCAGCGGTGGGGTGGGAAGCTGGGTCCTACGTTTAACTTCCAAGCCACCCCCCTCGGCAGCTGGGTCAGCGTCTCCAGCTTTTAGCGGTCGTGCCTATTTTTCTGGCCTTTAACTCTTTCGTTATTAAAGCTACACACTGACTATCTTTGCAGCTGGGTCTCTACTGGACGCAAAACAGTAGCACTCACGTCCACTTGGACTGTCCTGCTGATTACCTGCACACGTGTGTGTGCATGGCCCAGTCCCCCCTCCAGCACCTTGGCTTCGAGGAGACACAGAGCAGCCTCCTGACAAATTCTGCTACCTCACTGCGATCACGCCACACCACGTGAGGACAACCTGTGTCCTCGTCTGACACACAGACCCCACAGCTGAAGTCTTTATCCCCTACGTCCTGCTGGTCGGTCAGTTGGAAAAGTCAGCTGAAAGGAAAATGACAGACACCAGACTCGGAGCCTTCAGCAGACGTCCTCAGCGCGGCGCTTGGTGGGAGACGGGACTGCTGGAGACAGTGCCTTAGCCGTCGGGCGGTGCACGTGGACCCCGGCCGTCCTATCAAATCCCAACATGTTAAAAAAGTAAAGAATACGTTTGACAGAAATTACAAGTGCTTACAAAATTGCATTACATACAATCTGCATATTTTTATTGGACCCAGAAATGTCCTCTCCTTTTACAAAAACCAAAGAGAAACCTGGTGGGTGTGAGTCCCGCCGGCCTCCGGAGAGCGCCGTGCCCACGCGAGTCCTCGCTGCTCTCCAGGCCCTGGGCCTCACGACTCTACACGCTACTCACTGCTGTTATCAAGCTAAAGCGAAGGAAAGCGCGTGGCGTCCGCGAGTTCACCACGAGGCGGAAGGGATCACCAAGGCCAGGAGCAGCGTCACGGACGGCGAGGACGTGGGGAGGGAGGGCTGAGCGCTCGTGACTTTCCCACCTGTGACCAAGAGAAACAGCGAGTGGAGCAAATGGCTTGGTTTCGCCTGAGCTGGCAGTTGCTTGTGGCTGGAAGACAGGGGGCGAAATCTGGCTCTTTCTGATGACCGCTCCCTCCCGTGTCTCTGCAACAAGATATTCCCTGTGGTTCCCGAGCGTTATCCGGACAGCCGCAGTGCGCACGGGACAGGCTGGTGCCGAGCAGACACCGTGCGTCAGAAACCCGTCTTGTCAGGGCAGTCGGGGTAACGCTCCCGGGGTGCGATGGAAAACCCCAGATCCCAGGGTGAGACGTAAAGGAACCTCCATTGTGCGTAGTTTAGGAAACTGAACAAGAATTAAAGCAGTCGAGGCACTAAAAGTGGACACTTAACTACTCTGGTCATTGGAAAAGTTTCCTACTAATAAAATATGTTATTTGTCTCACTCACGTAGGGGTCCTCGATCGGCTCACCGTGCCGTTCCGCGGACTGAAGCTCTAGACTCTCACACTACGCTTGCCAAAGGAGCCTTATGTCTCAGAGAGTCTTTCCTCTCGTCTTGCTTCTTTTTTCAGATTTATTTATTTATGCTGATAAGAGCTGGGGTACAGGCCAGAGATGTGGGGGGGGGGGTGAGAAGACTCACCAGAGACAGAGTTAGGAGAACTGACGTATCTACCGAAACACACCGCTGAGGGGTCTGCTGCGCCCTGTGGGTCCCTCCCTGACCGGGGATCGAACTCACGCTGCAGTGGCTTGGGCAGCGTCCCAGCGCTGCGCTCTAGCCCCCTGGGCCGCCAGGGAGGGCCCAGGTCTTGCTTCTTGCAGGCAGCTAATGGAAGACATGCCTGCTGGGTCCCTGCGTGGTCAGGCTGACCGCGCAGGAGCGCAGTCACGCAGGCGTCCCGTGCTCTGCAGGCACGCGTCTGTTGTTGCCTCACAGCGCCGCCTGAGGAAGCAAGGGCAGAGCAGGCTGCACCTCTGTCACTCCTCCGAAACAGCCTTTGGCCCGCTCGGTGCCCCTGAACACTCAGCGCCACGGTGAAGCAGGCGGCGCGAAGCCAGCAGTGGGGCGCCATCGTCCTTCCTACCCTGAACTCTGCGGCA